TATATATATGTATTTTATATTGAAAATTTAAATATCAAATAGGAATAAAAAAGAAATAAGTATTTTCAAAGGAAGAATTAAATAATAATTAAATTTAAGGTCGGTTTGATGTGGAAGGTTTGATTCACCGCATATGTGAAACAAGAAAAATACGTGGCGCGTGTGTCTAACATTGTCAAACATCATTATGCTCCCATTTAAACTCATTCGTATCACTGTTCAGCCCACGGCTCTTATATAAGTCTTATGTTTTTCTTAATTACGTATATATCTTCAAAGCCTTTGATATACTTATGAGTATCTGACAGTTTATGACACACCTATTGTGTACAGGTAGAATTAATTAAACTGAACATAAAATTCTTCTACCATTTCGCAAACAACCATGTAAAATCTTGAGTTATTCATTAAAGAAGGTTGGTGAACGATTACGCACGATTACGATAGATGTGATAGCAATATCTACCGTCGTGTGCTTATACATTAAAGTTGAACAAAAAAGTTCTTTTTAGGGTCCATTTTAGGTTATCATTTTGCATATAACTACGTGAATTTTTAATTAAAAAACATTGGTGCATATCGCGCGCATGATCACCCGTCAATCTTCTTTAATTAATAACTCAAAATTTTACGTGGTTGTTTGACAACCTCTACCAGAGTACATAACGGATGTCATTATAATTGCCAGACATGCTATATAGTTTAGTTTAAATATTCGTATTTGAAGACCAAACCTATAAGAATATCCAGAGTTAGATACCAATGTTATTAGTGATGGCATTAAGTACTACGTTTACCTCAATGAAGGAAAGAGAGGACACATTGGTTGCGTTCAGAAAACATAGCTGATCAGTAAGCGGTCAGTGATTATTGGTCTTTACTGTTAGATCCTTAACTTTAGATCAATTACGTTGACTAATTACTTCGTTGTGTAACCGTTGTGTCTCCTGAACGCACCCATTGATCGCGTGACCACATCGCCTCCTTCGTTTTCACCACCAACTAGACATGTAAACAAGGAAAAAGCATTTTACTCTTTTTGTTACTCTCTCTCTTACTTACGCTGACTTCATTCTTCCTACAGCAATGCGCTGTCTATTCTACATGTCTTTGAGTGAAATGCTTGATCTGAGTTTTGGATTGATTTTTTGCGTTTTTCATGGGTTTATTTCCTATAAAAATTTATTTCTTTCATGGAAGCAAAATCATGAAGGACATGACACCAACTTGGGAATTAGATGATTGGACTTACGTGTGACTGTGTTTTTTTTTATAAAATAATTGATTGCAATTATTTCGTAAATAATTGACGATATCTGTTGAGCAATCACGACTTTGGAAAATTGATTTAAGAAAACGATCTTTCGTTGAATTTGTCCTAGGAAAATATCAACGTTAAGAATGAATCATCTTGAATATCTTTGAAGTAAAAAACAAAAGTGACATTGAGATCTTCGAAGCTAATTCTCCCGAAAAAGCGTAACCGCCATAAGATGTTTTTTTCTAGGTAGAATAGTTTAAAAAATCTGAAGATTCTTTGTTTCTTGCTTCGAAGATATTCAAGTATTGACTCTGTATATTGCGATTATTTATACATTGCGATTATTTATATATTGATTCTACTTTGATCGATATGAAATGAGATCGAGAGGTCATCGTGACTTTTATTATGGCGCGGTGTTGGACATTAATCGATTAAAATATAGGTTGGTTAAAATAATCGACAAATTAATAGTCCAAGTTAATTCAATAGTCATATATAAAATCACAGACATAACTTAATCGACTAATGAAATTAGTTATTAATCAATCTTATATTTGATGGATTATATTAATTAACGGCAGATTTCATCAATCGATTAAATTAATCGTGATTACATAGTCACGATGATTCATCAATCTTGATTATTGATTTGCCGATTATTTTAGTGAAATCAGATTTTAGTCTATCGATGCCTAACGCTGTCTTCCACGACGAGTGCTCGAAGGAAAGCAAACGGAATAATATAGTCGGAGAATATAAAAGAGGCGGTCGAGTTCTTATGCAAACCACAGAGAGTGATGGCTTTCATAGACTACGGGAACTGTTTCTGAATCACACGCGGAATCGCTTTTTGCGCGCCGAATGGCGCATAGTTAAAAAGAAAGGGAAAGAGGAACGCGAAATGAACGCTTCGCGGGAAAAGTGCGGGCGCTCTCAGCAATCTCTTTTTTTCCGCCGCGAGATCTCCTCGTGAGAAAGCATTTTGTTCAATGGAACGTCCGTCGGCATCGGACGCAACAAGTTGAACTTGGCTCGTTTTCAAAGAAGCTCGTAGAATTCATCAAACCCGCGCCCGCCACGTGCCCGCGCGCGTATGTTCCCCATCGTATCCGCTCGAGATTACGTTCCGTTCGTCGCGAGCATCGCGACAAGTCCGTCCTGGGAATTTCACACGTCATTTCGCTTCATCTTCACATCAACAGCACAGACAGCTGATTAAAGGCCGCGTCACTTTTCCTCGATGAGTTTCGCAACGCGCGTTCTGTATCCAAACCGAAAGATGAATTCTCCCGTTGGATACGGGACGAGAGGCTCATCGGGAAGAAGTGTATGCAGCCTTCGATCAGTCGATTGCGCACGGTCGTTTCAATGCACGCATTCGTCTTCAACGTTTGCCATGCTCGTTGGAATGTACACGAGGAATGCACACTAAGACGATACAACAGGCGTTTAAAAGTATAATGAGGCGGTTGGCATATGACGCTAAAAAATGCACAAAGGCGAGGCTCATTTTCCATGTGTCTGAATCCATTCTAAAGCCCGAAAGCTAGATTCGTCCACCGTATATGCGCCGCGATTGCTGCCGTCGCGTTACCGTCGCGACGTCGCGTAAATTGTCGTGTCGTCGTGCCGCGTATAATTTCGCGGCCTTGTATGGTGTAGAATAGCGCGCATACACGCATACGATAATATCAGACGCGGGAGCGAGGATGCAGCGCGGGAGAGATAAATAGAGGAGAGATACACCACGGGACTGGATTATCGGCGGGTATGAAAGCAAAAAAAAATACGACACAGGGGAAAAAAAAAGAAAAAGAAAGGGAGCAAACGGAGAGTGCCTGGGTTAGATGAGAAAGGTCCTAATCTATTTTCAGGACGACCGAGCACGCCACCGCCAGCAAAAAGGCTGACCACCGTGTGGCCCTCCTCGTACAACCCCTACTATCCGAAAAGGACAGAGAGACCACCTCCGCCGAGTGAGGAGAAGGTCGAGAGGCCAGAGCAGAAGCTACGTGGTGGCCAAAGTACAGGTGAGGCTTGCATTCTCTCACCAGGCCCTCCCCTGCTTTCCCGTTTCTTTCTCTAATCATCGCGGCCGAGTCCTTACTGCTAGAGAGACACACGCACACACACACACACACACACAGAGAGAGAGAGAAAGAGAGAGAGAGAGAGAAAGAGAAAGAGAGAGGCGCGCGCGCGTATCTCTTTCTTTCGCATGTCACTGTTGCCTTTACTCGACCTCGCCTGATTTTCCCCGCTTTCGCAACACCGCTATCGATATATTCCTGATGATATTCGCGTGCAGTATCATGTGCTCTATTCTGCACTATGCACCAGCTGAAGGTCGCGGGCGGCCCGTAATTCGCGTCTCGTGTATGTTCTGAAACTAGTCATATCGGGCTGAGAAGAAGAAGCTGAAGAAGAGGAGAAAGAATTGCGCGTAGACTTTGTCAATGTCGGAAGTAACGAGTGATATTGTAATATTAACAACCGCATGAGCGCGGACCGTGTTGAGAAAAGTTGTCGTTATTGATCTTGTTGTTGTTGTTGTTACGACACTGTGACTTGTGACAGAGAGGTGTGTCTGTCCCTTTAAAAAAGTAAAGAAAAGCCGGAAGAAAAGCTACATGGAAATATATCTTTGTTTCTTTAAAATACGGTTACGTCATGTACGCGGGCACTTGCTTCCACAATCAAGAGGAATTGAGAGAAAAAGAGGGAAAGAGATCCGGCTAGAAAATAAGCAAGAATATAGTCGATAATCGATGGGAAATTTTGATTACTGTCGAATATTTGTCCGTTATTAGTATTGTGTTACTGCTTAGATTCTATTTCAATTTTGATCAATGCTTCTTTCGACAAGATTAGACCCATTCAAATTCCTAATGTAGACATTCCTAATATAGACATAACAGAGTTTTTCAACTTCTATATTTCTCAAGTTTATCAACTTCTACAACTAGTTTCTAATTAATTTACTTTATTTTCTTTTAATTACTAACACATTGCTAAATGTTTCGGTCGCTTCTCGACCTTATCAAAAAAATTAATACAATTATCGGTTCTTCATACAGGAATTCGGCAAATTTATAGTTAACAACCGAATTCCGATAAAAAAATAACTATTAAAGAAGATTGAAAAATGGTCGAAATATTTAGCGTATTAGTTCTTAAGAAATATATTTTATGCACAACTAAAACATTAAATATTTATGTACGCTTGCATTTCTAAAAAATGCATATATTTTTAACTTTTTATATTTATATTTTTTATATTAATATTTTATACTTATATTTTCCTTTTTATTTCCGTGTGTGTGTGTGTGTGTGCGCGTGTGTGATATTTTTTATAAAAATTATTCATAAAGAAAAGAAATTAAGAAAATCAAGAACTATAGTATCAATTTTACGCTGTCCAATTTCATTGCGGTGAATATCTAAAAACTATTAGTCAGGAAATTGTCAGTTTTAAATAGACATGAACTAGCTATTACTTACTGTTATTTATCATTAATCTGTTCTAATGAATATCTGGCGAATTTTTGGTCAGTAAGCAAAACCTAGGATGTTAGAGTTTTGATTGGACATGATTTAGCTATCAGTTACTGATTTATCTAGTTAGCTGGCCTGGAGTTAGCTTCTAACTAGTTTTGATCCAGAAAATAATTGTTTAATAATGATTGAAACTTGAATTACCTATATAATGGTCAATTAATTAATTTCATCTTAATATGATTCTCTTACTTAGTTGTTTAACAGTTACTATCTAATAAAACCCAGATAGTCACAAACTGACTAGTTTCTGACATGTGACCAGCTTTCCCCGGAAGTATTTTTACATTGACAAAGAAATACTTAACAATTTATTTATTTATATATTTATTTGTGAAACATAAAGTTTATTCGCGCAGAGATAAATCTTATATCTCCCACAAATAAATTTTCAAGTGCTCTTTTCTCAATGTATCCCGGAAGATACATGTATGCTTCCGTAAGACAGGATCGACTACACTTTGCATAAATCGGAGACACGCACAGGAAGTCTCAGGTGTGCGCTGAAAGGCACCGGGAGCCACGTGCTCGCGAAATATTTATCTCATCGATATTAAAGTATTAGCAATTATTAAGAATAAAACTTGGAGCAGTGTTCTTGTGGAGATACTCGGCTCTTTCTTCTCTCGCGTTAGTGTCTCAATTAAAATTCGCGCGAATTCAGTAATACATCTGTATGACCAATTTATGTGGCAGAGTCGCTAATTTCACTTCGAACGACAATATGATCGAGAATGTATTATTCTCGTTTAAAGTTGCATTTTCAACAACTGATTTATTTTTACACGATTTTCTGTTCCGCGTGACTAAACGATATATCCCGGGATATTGATCGCCGTTTCCTCCCTCTCTTCCTCTCTTTTTCTTATGATTCTCTTAACTGGAATGTGTTCCAGTACGAGGCAGTGTATTCCACCGCTAAATATCTTAGTCATGCCTCCCTCTCAGTGCCGTGATGGGATATAGTCGTGCCGTCTTGACGAAGCTCGAAATAGACGAATAGGCGCGCTCCAATCGTTAACAAGATAACGAGGCCTCAGCGAAATGGCCTGAGAAGCTATTTCGTTCCGGCGCCATTAAATTCGGGTCGGGAGCGTGGCGTGCCAGGACGAATGCCCTAATAAGATGTTTGCTCGTTGATGATTAATGTAGGGCCGCCTTGCGATTATCTTAACTATCGGCAAATAAAGCGGCATATCCGCCTCGCGATTACTCGCTCGCTCGGTGAATTTTATCGCTTGCGCGTGGTGCGACCCCTTCTTCCTTCGAGACGAATACATTTTTACAATCGAACAGAATTATGTGAGAGAGAAAATAGGAAATTTCACGCAAGAGATTCCGTCGCGAACAACGCGGAGAATTATTGCGAGACACCTCTGAAACTGCAAGATACTTTTGCACAAACGACTTCTGCTTCCGTTTTCTTCGATTCTTCGAGTCTCTCTCTCTCTTCCTCTCTTTCTCCTTCTCTCTCTCTCTCTCTCTCTCTCTCTCTCTCTCTCTCTCTCTCTCTCTCTCTCTCTCTTTGTCGATAATCGAGACAGCATCTTTCGCGAGTCGCTTTTCCATTTCCACAGCAAAATCGAAACGTCGGCGGCGGATTGCCCGCATTCAGTTCGGAGAGATTAATCCGCCCCCTTTAAATAAATCGCACCGAGTTAAATCACGCGGCGCGAGAGAAAAAAAATGATCACCCGCTCGGCCGCTCGCGAGTACTCGCGATACGGCGCGTTGCGTATCGTCACATGCGTAGAAATATTAAGCTGAATAACGAACGTCAATTTTCATTGAAACATTTGTTGCTTTGTTATTGCGATACAAACGACCGACCGACCACTCATGCACGCACGCATGCACTATATATAACGAAATCTCCGGGGCGTTACTACGCGGCAAATGCGTGTCAACTGTGAAGCATTGCATGCGCGTCCGCCATTCGTTTTCATTCATTAAAGATTATTAGTGCCATGATATTTTACCTTATCAAGGCAAGATCGTTCGCTAAATCATAAAAAAAAAAGAATCCCGGCGTAACCGTCATAATTTTTGCAGGATTACCAATTCGCCGTAGTCAAGCTTATTGCTGATATCGCGTCACATTTTTCACATAATTTTCGCATTTTCGACAAATAATTCCGATTTTGGCAGTAATAAATATGATGGAGAAGTCTGACATGTGACGACGACTAAGCCCACAACTGCCACTAAATCGACGTTTCCATCAGCTCGCGCACTTGAACGATGAATTGATTCTTTGTTTCGTCAATTTCTCGAGATGTAGTAACGGTCGAGAAATAATAACGTATAAGAAAAATATCCAGTACAGAAAAAGTATCGGACACCGGAAAGTTTTACTAATTAACCCATTAACCCCCATTTCCCATTTGGATTTCTTTTGCTGTGGTGAATTTTTTACTTGCCCTCCTTTTTTACGTCTCTATGTCAGAAGACCCAGCAAAAACTGTAGATTGCCGCAAAAAGTTAGTAGGTTAATATTATTCGACAAGAGATTGACGAGATTGTGACGCCCCGACCTGTTTTTATAGATAAAAATTGGTATTTAAAATCTATTCAAGATATCAATCTAAAGTTTTACATACATAAATTATACACGAAAAACAAGGTTTTGTTTATAGCCACTGACCAAATTTGTAATAATTAAGATAGTGTGAGAGAGAGAAAAGATATATTAATTGCATTGAAAAAGTGATATATATTATTTATTTTTATTATTAATATTAATAATATTGGTATTATTATATAGTATATATAGTTTATTATAATATATATATACACACACACATATATATATATATATATATGTATGTATATATATATATATATATATATATATATATATATATATATATATATATATA